ATGCACCAAGAAAGCACAAAGTTCACAGAAAACTGGAATTAAAAGATCCTGGGAACCTTCACCTGATTCACGGAAGGTTAAACAAATAAAAAAACAGACCGTGGAATTTCCCTACTTTACAGCGGAGGACACAAAAGCACAGCATTTAAACAACAAACAAGGATCACACAGCTCTGTTAGGGTCTTGCCTCGAGATCCTGAGCTCTCCTTTTTACAAAAAGCTGCTTTTCAGAAAATGTTCCTGGGCACAGGAGGTGCTTTCCGGAAGGAGTGAAAGTAATAGGCTGTCAGGAGAGGAGATTTAAGCACAAAGAGGAGCCCTTTACAAGCACTATCCTGACTGTACCCCCTGCAGAAGCCAACTCCTGTGGTGGTCAGCCAACTCAACCTCTGAGAGGCTGTGGGAGGCCTGGGGGCTAACAGGACCCCAAGGAAGACTGGTACATGTCAATGAGCCATTGTGATTCAGGCTCTGGCTTTGCAGCCCCACACACAAATCACACAGAACATGCCTTAGAGAAACACTGTCTGCCAGACCAGGGCTCCCAACTTCCCACAAAACAGTCTTTCAGGCCCTGCTTCCATTTTTCACATGTGGGCATGTTGGGCTGCCCCAGCAACAAAGATCCCGAATTTCAATCTTCGGGCAGCCTCATTAGCTCCAATTAATCATCATTACCCAGAAAGCACCCGTGGAGGAGTGAGCCATGAGGCCTGCGTCAGTTGCCAACTCCCCTCAGCCCAGGGTCCTATAAAGAGCGCACTGCGAGCCCACCGGGGTGCCTGCAAGGAGCAGGGTGTGTTCCATGGCGATGTAAAAATAACTTTCCATCAAAATGAAAAGTCTGGACACATGCAGTTGGCCCACAGCCAATGGGGAGTGCAGAGGGTCACCATGGTGAGGGAGCTAACAGGAAAAGAGACGCACACGTCCGGGCCTGCAGAGTAAGGGCTGCAGTGAGGCCCCTAGAACTCCGACTCTCACACCACAATTAAACCCATGAGTGAGCAACAGTCTACAGCTGTGTTCAAGTCCAACTGTGAATGCCTGCAAAACCTCACCACACTTTCCACTCACCACTAAACATCCCCTCGGGCAGGAAGAAGCCTTACCCTACAATTTAAAGCACTTTCTTCTGCCAATTAAAAAAAAAAAAAGCAGAAACAGAAGCCTAAGGTTTAAGAGATTCTATGTTGTCAACGGCCGGTTCCACCGACTACCTTGTTCCAAACCCTGTGGGATACATCATCATTTTGGCCATAAACCAACACCAAACACACAGCGGCTGGGTTGATCCCAACTCATAGTGACCCTGTAGAACTGTTCCATGGGGTCCCGGAGCGCTACATTTGCAAAGGAGCAGATGGCCACATCCTTCTGCAACTGAAAGGTCAGCCGGTGGTTTCCAACGGTGGTTTCCCTTGGAAGGAAGATAAGGCTCTCGACTCCTGTGAAGAACACAGTCCCAGAAACGTACAGGGGCAGTTCTCCCTTGTCAAGTCAGAATGGGCGCAACGGCAACCAGTTTGGTTTTATTTTTACTCCCCCAAGGCAGCCAGTGCATCCAAACCATTGTCCTTTCTGGTCGCAGCCCAGTGCTTAACCAGTGCACCATCAGGGCTCCTGGATTTTGGCCAAAGAAAGGGGATTTTTCTTTTTTTTTTTAGGCTCATGACAGAAATTCATTCAAGAGTCCTGGCGTGACTTCGGATGTTGAGCGATCCTGTGTGCTACGTTCAGTACTGCACATGCTCTGTTCTCCCTCACGCCTCCTGTTCACACTCTGAGAGGCACGTGTGCCGTGGTCTTTCGCCAGCACAGGCTCAGAGAGGTGAAGTGACTTGCCTGCAGTCACATGACTGGGAAGTGGCCTGGGCCTCGCTGCTCCTGAAGGCCACATCATCAGTGTTCCATCTGGGCAAGAGCTGGCAGCCCCAAAAGCGGGTGCTGCTGTGCTGCTCAGTCACCCAGAAATAACGCAAGCCACGAAGTTACCAGGTGAGTAAGGCTACCTAGCCAAAGGTTACACCCATTTCTCTAGGAACCCCATGCCCAGGGCAAGAGGATTTGCAGAATGTGACCCTGGCTAGGGTCATTTGGCTTTCATGAGAAGTTTCCCCTTTTGGAGAGGCCTACGGTCAGAGAAACAAACTACTGATGAGTAATTGAACTGAAAGTATGTGGTCTAATAATCCAGGGAGGTACGGAAGTACTCTAGAATGAAGGTCACCTTTACGCAAAAGAAACCAAACAAACAAAATCATAAAAAACAAACAGAAGACCCTACCAGACTGTACCTTTCCTGTAAACCCTAACTTTAAGGCTCCCAGGGACCTGGTGACACCACTGGTTAAGTACTTGGCTGTTACTTGAAAGACCCTCAATTTGACCCCCACCAGCCACAGGGAAGGAAAAAGAAGTGGCCATCTGCTCCCATCAAGATTACAGCCTCAGAAAACCGGATGGACCTGTTCACCTCTGTCCTATGGGGTCCCCGGGAGTTAGAATCCACTGCCACCAGGAACTGGTTTGGTTTAAGGTTTAGATGAGGAAACTGTCCCTACCATCCTCAAAGTCAGCAGAAATTAACCTGAATCGTCTTTCCACTGAAAGATCACATTTCTACTGACACTCCACCAGTACAGCTACAATACTATTTTCACCGTGCAAGAGGAGCCACGCTGAGCAAAAGAACTTATAGGAACTGTTACCCATTGGGAAAACACACCTATCATTTTCTCATTACACTAGAAAGCTGCCCCGCTGACAATCAGCAAGAGGTTTCCCTGGTGACTGAAAAGCAGACAAAGCAAGCAGAGACTTTCTTTCTTTGGGGACATGAAACTCCCATTCATTTCCGTCAGGAAAGATGGATTTTGTCACTTCTTCTCCAAACTATAAAGTGCTACGCAGTGCCCATGCACAGGGTGAACTGGGCCTCCCAGGGAAGTTCCTTGTGCCAAGTTACAAAGCCAGTGAATACAAGGGGGGTATTAATGGAAAGACTGATAGTATCTTACTACAGTGGCCTCTCTGTGGCTGGGGACAAAGATCTGTTGAGGGTTTTCCAGTGGTTTTGAATGTGCAACCTCCAGACAAGCCCCTCTGCAAGGGGGCTGGCTCGGTCCTGAACAATCCCTCTTTCGGAAAGAAAGCCAAAAGTCCCACACGGGCTTCTGGGTGAGAGCCTTGGCACCGCATGCGTGGGAAGGCTCCAGCTGGGGAGACAAAGGCGCAGGAGTGGTGGACGGCGGCTGGGTCCCCCTGGGTTATTGTAGGCCCAGACCCACAGATCGGACTTCCAGAGAACAGTCTAAAAGCTTTGGGGCAGGAAAGGAAAGAAAGAGAGAGTGAGGGAGGGTGGGAGGCAGGCAGGCAGAATATGTTGGATTCACCGCAGAGCCAACCCCATGGCAGGGGACTGAGAGAGATAACCGGAGCGGCACCTGGCTCAACTTTCAAAGGGGTGGAGGCAGCAGGCAGCCCCAGTCTCCACTGTACCTTCCTCCAGAAACCCGCTGCGGGTCTAACACAGTGTCGGGCAATGCTGGTGGGACTCTAGCACCCAGATCTACTTCCACCCCCCAAAT